TCATAAGGATAGCATTCAGTTTCCTTACAGAACACCTGGTGAATGACCTACTGTCAAAGAGCTTCATCCAGTGCGCAACGTTCACCACACCACAGCCTACAGAAAAGGCTTTAGGCTGTCCTTACAGGCCTCATAATTTTTTTTTTATTAAACAGGAACTTCTATCACCCCTATTTTACACATGGGGCACTTAAACAGTAGTTTTCTCAAAAGTACTGCGTTATTAAGGAGCAGAGCTAAGATCTGGGAGTAGGACTAGGGAATTTCAAACCTGAAGCTTTCTAAGCAAAATCTTTAAACTGCTTCTTGCAAGAAAAATTAACTAACTTTAACTGAATGGATGCCAGTTTTTAAAGTTCTAGATTGGCGAGGAATTTTTCTCAAACAGCAAAAGTAACAGTGGATACATACTAAGCATTCTCCTATACGTAAGTTCCTATTTAGTGGCAATTACATGACTATTTTCCTATTCCACACAGGTTTTTCTCCTTGGCAGGCTTAGGCATACTCACTGCCACTAAAATAAAGCTGGCAAGCTATAAAACGTATTTACTACGGGAGGTAAAATCGTACTCCGATTCTCCTCCACTTGCTTATCCCGCTTCTGCTATTTCATCACACACCTGTAAGTGATCCTGGGAAAAAGCCAGCACAGGCCTGGGGATGCCTCAGTCTACTTTCAGCAGCAAAGGACTAAATAATTAAACCCATTGACAAAGTAACCGATGTGCAAGCCCATGCTCTTCCCAAGCAAGAAGAGTTCTGCTTATAAAATACAAAACAGGAGGAAAGGTGAGCCGTCGTCGCCGTGACAAAACGCTCTCGACCGCAGGAACCCAGGTACGTGAAGGAAGGCATTCTGACAAACAGCTTGGCCTCAAAGTTAGCCCAACCTAACCGCCTGCCCACCCCGCCCCCAGCCCGGCCCGGCGGAAGCTCGTGGGGGAAGAGCCCACTGAAGTCGTCACCTTCAGGAGACATCCTCTGTCATAATGCTCGCAGCCCCGCTGCCCTTGCTCCTCTCCGCGGGCGCCATCTTCCCGCGCCGAGGCCGCCATCTCCTCCACCTCCCCTCGCAATCCAAGAACCCTTCCCCGAGGATGAAAACTGAGCCCGCAGCAGCAGCACCGCTCTAGCCCACCCCTTCCCGGCTGCAGCTGCCACCGGAACCAAGATGGCGGTGGATCACGTGACCCGGGGCAGCCGGATTTCCGGTTCCCAGGACGACGGGCCGGAAGCGAAGGGAGACGCAATCTCTGTCGTCGGCGTTAGTCGGCTTTCGCTGCTAACGGTAATAACTCTTAGGTTGCTTTTCCTTTTCCTCCATCGCTACCCGCCCACACCCTGGGCGTGGTTCGGGGCGAGGAGAACCGCAGCGGCGCGGAGACGTTCGGTGGTCCCTGGGGAAGGGCCGGCCTCCAGCCGCATCCGCACTTGTGACAGGGCGGCCCCGCCCTCGCCCGGCGGCGGCCGGAGCCTCGAGAATGGGGCGGAGCTCGGCCCGGTCTCCTGTCTCCGAGCGGGTAGCCGCCTCTGCTGGGCGCTCAGGTGCTCTCCATCGCAGTGAACACCTTGCTTAGGTCCCGTTCCCCTTTACTTCCTGTTCATACCTTCAGAATATATATTAACAAGTACTACGTACCAATCACCAGCTACGCCGTGGGGACAAAAGGAAAAAAACACGCCCCACCATGGCTTCATGAACTCACAGACTGGTAGGGGAGAAAGGTGTTCATCAGAGAATCTCTGAAATAAATGTAGGATTACAGCCTTGAGAAGTGCTAGGAAGAAGTGTGTGTTCCTCAAGAGCTGGTGCCAGAGGGGCTCTGACTTAATCTGGGTGTCAAGGAAGGTGTCCTTGGGGAAGCAGCACTTGAGCTGAAGGCTGAGGAGGAGCTAGTGTGACAAGACCTTATGGCAGAGAGAACGTCGTGCCTATAAAATGCAGTGGAAAGGAAACGTATCAGCCTTTAAAACTGAAATCAGGCGCCTCAGTGCATAGCTAATATGACTTGCCCTATTAAAGAGCCAAACCCAGAGAAAATTTTATGAGCAAAGGTGCAGGTGTTGGAAGAAAATTTTTGCCTTTGGCTTTGTAACGTGATTTCATGTTACCTAAAACGTACTGGAACATACTGGGAAAGGTAAATATTGTCCCCCTAGCTTTGAAGTTACTAACTCTTGCCCTCTTAATTTTCTTTCAGTTCTGTTATGAGTTGCTAAAATCATGGTGAAATGTTGCTCGGCCATTGGATGTGCTTCTCGCTGTTTACCAAATTCCAAGTTAAAAGGACTGACATTTCACGTGTAAGATTTTGCTGCAGTTAAACCAAGTACTTTTGAATGTTAGAAAAAGCAAAAGACAGTTCTCTTTAAATTTTCAAGTTTGAACTTTCGTTCCCAAGTTCTCTTTAAATAACCTTTTTAGTTGAATTGGAAGTGGCAGTGATACTTTTACCCGTTTACAATTTAGTTTGGGAACTTAAGATACTTGACAAGGTATCACCAGCTGATTAACAAAAATATCAAACTCATTTTTGCAAATATTGTTACTTTGCATCTTAACATACCTTCAAAGAAATTCAGTGTTGTTTACATGTAGTTTACAATCTGAATGATCTTTGCCCAATTATATTCTATCCTTTCTATTTAGAAATAGATGAAGCTTATGTTGTAGAGAAAGAAAATGTAAGTTACAAATTCAGTCCAAGGGTTCTTTAGGTGTATTGCAGAGAAATCAAGATGGTCCTAATTTGGTATTTTAGCCATTCTTCTGGCATAGGAAAGAAGGAGCAATAAGATTTAATAATTACTCATTTGCTAAAGGTTCATTTTGCTGCTTTTGTACCACGGACTGTGCTGTGTGCTAGAGAAAGATCTGCTAACTACTTTGCTAGGTTAAGAGAAAATCAGAAATGAGTATGTGTACCCTACCTTATTCCAAAAAGGATTTGAACCAGCATGGAAAATCGGAAAAGATACAGTTATTGGCCTCCAGATCTCAAAAGGACTAGTGCTGATCTCCAGAACTCCGAACTCTGCAGGTGTTCTCTGCATTCATTCACTAAGCATTTATAGACCCGTTTTCTATAAAATGCTGTACTAAGCAATTTTTTTGATGCTGTCAGAGGAATGAAAGAACAAGTGTCTCTGAGATAAATTCCTCAGATAGGAAAAGGCTCAAGTGATATTCTTTATCACCAAGAAAAACCTTCAATTGTGGATCTTACTATAAAGTGTTAAATATTCTTTGAAACTTTTCTTTTTTATGACATGAGTATAATTTAAACAAGGGCCATCTGCCTGCAGCATGTTTGGTACAAAGATCTGACTGTTAAAACTGAAAGTTATGACAGCATGAATCATGATGGTTTCCTAAATATTCTAGTTCCTGAAAATAGTAACAAACTAAAGAATCAATGTAATCACAGCCTTAATTCAAGTGTATATCAATAGTGTTTAATTCTAAAATATTTTGTGTATTTTTTCTAGATTCCCAACAGATGAAAAGGTCAAAAGAAAATGGGTATTAGCAATGAAAAGACTTGATGTGAATGCTGCAGGCATTTGGGAGCCTAAAAAAGGAGATGTGTTGTGTTCAAGGCACTTTAAGAAGACAGATTTTGACAGAAGTGCTCCAAATATTAAACTGAAACCTGGAGTCATACCTTCTATCTTTGATTCCCCATCTCACTTACAGGTTTGTGATGAGATGCTACTTACCATTACTAATTTTTTGTTTGTTTGTTTTCATATTCTTTTTCATCATAGGTTAATATAAGATTTTGAATATAGTTTCCTGTTCTATACAGTATAAACTTGTTTATTACTTTTTATGATACTATTTAAGAACCTTCATACTTGCTAACATTTTTATTGTTTGCTTATTAATTTGAAGTCCATTCTTCAAGTTTTTAGATGTATAAACTGTTATTTCAGCTTTTGCAAAAAATAATAGGAGTATTTTACCAGTAGCCACTCAGAAACAGCTGTACATTACTAAGGTTTGGTGAAGGGG